GTTCACAGTCCCAAAAAAAAAAAAAAAAAAAACACATCTTAGTAAAACCAATACCTTCTCAGCTTCGCATCGAAGCTAAAAATGTTATTGGATGAATGTTGTACTATGAGAAATTGGATGTTAAAGTAAAAAAAATTGGCAATTTTTTCAATAAAAAAATATTTTACATTTAATTTTAGAAAAAATTTAGGGATTTTTGCTACTAATTAGTGATTAAATCAGGAAATAGATTTGGTAGAAAAAATTTTAAAAACATAAAGAATTAATGTCTTTATTAGGGATTAGGGAGAGGAAAAAGAAGAAGAACGAGATATGGTTTTAAATATCTAGTTAATTATAATTATGTTTTATTAAAGAAAGTTTTTTTTTTTTTAAAGATATTCGCATTTGCAATAACTGTAAGAGTACTAAGTACAATAATGAGTTGGAAAAAATGAAATGTTGTGGTATTGATTTATGTAAAAATTGTGTCAATAGTTCTATGAAAACTCAATGTTCTTGCAGAGAAGACTTAGTGAACGGTACTATATACTTATATTAAATTTTTTAAATTGTAAGTAACGATCACATATAGGTGTCAGATTAAGTAATATAAGGATAATAAGCAATTATTATTATTATAAGCAAGTACTTATTAAAATAAGTTTATTCTCATATTGTGTTAATTTTATATGAATAAAAAATAATATTATAATGGTTCTATTATTTCACCAAGAAATTAATTTTAGCTTCGGTGCAAAGTTATGAAGGCATTAGTTACACAATAATGTTTTTTTTTTGTTTGTTACAATTTTTTCTCAGCTATCACCGAACTGATTTCTATCAATGACACGTCAAAGATCACAAATTGTATCTAGTCGAAGAAATTACCCTCAAAAATTGAAAATATTTCCCCCCTTCACAATAAATAGGAGAATTCTCCAAAAAAATTACATATTTAAAAAACGCTAATTTTCAAAATGTTTTCAATTTTTTTTACTTAAAACTGCCATAACTTTTTTAAAAATTATCAAATCAATATAATTTTTTTAAATAGATAAATGAGGTATTGACTTATCATTTTCTATATTTTTTTTTATAAATTTGATCCTATACCTGTTCACAGAGAGATTTCAAATTAGCAATTTTTAACAAAAAATTAACTTTTTCAACTTTTGAAAATGAATTGAAAATACTGACACATTTATACATGTCATTAATGCTTATGTAATATTTTTTATTTTTCATAAAAAAATGTTAAGATGACACAAGTCTCCACGACTGTCTTTTCAGACCATCCGAACAGTGGTCTCACGCTAATGCGACTGCTTACTTATTAGCATTAAATAATAAAATCAATATCAAATATAACATTTAAAATTATGCTATTAATTTTTTAGGTATTGTTTTTAGCCACTTTCGTTTGTGTATATCATGTAGACAGTTTGAAGGAAAGTACACTTTTTCATCTCGTTGTCCACAAATGTTTTGTAAGGAATGTTTTAATAGCCTACGTAATCAAAATGATGGGCGTTGTTCTTATTGTGGTGAAAAAACAAAGAAGAAGAAATCATTTTTATGTTTTTCTTAAGTGCAAATATTTGAATAAATACAACTATAATTATTTAAATTAAAAATATGCCAAATTTTTTGATTATTATTATAATATGTTATCGTTAAATAAGAAAATAGCATAACATCAGTTACTTGAACAAGATGTGCGATTATGTACAATTATGTCCAAATGATGACATCACTTAATACTCATGTAAATGACACAGCTAATTTATTAGTTAAATATATTTTGTCATTGTCCTTTTCTTTTTGCATTGCTATTTTTTTTTATAACAGAAACTTAAATCTTATTATTATCTTCTTTCTAATGTTAATTTTAATCTAGTATATATCATTACTAAGATTCTCTTGTCTCAAATTATAAATCCTCTTATAGACCCTCTTGAATCATTCTTGATTCTCTTTCATAATAATCTTCTTTCTTTAGTATTACAACAGAATTCCCTTTATCTGCCTTTAAATAAAAATAGTTTTTATTTTTTAAGTCATTTATGAGTCGTAGGAGGCTACAAACAAAAATAGTTCAAAATTAATAATTGAAGAAAAGTTCAGGTTTTTCATTAAAATTTCAAACCCTCAAATACCTAATCTATATGCTTTGCCAAAAATACATAAGCCAGGAATTACTATGAGACCTATTGTGTTGAATATTAATGCTCCGACTTACAATTTGGCTAAACACCTAGTAAGGGTATTTTCATCTTTCAAAAAATTCGATAGCTTTTCAGTTAAAAATAATATTGACTTAGTTAAACAATTATCTGGTTATACCATTCAAAATAATGACAGGTTAATTTCTTTTGGCGTAGTTGCCTTATTTCCGAATATTCCAATAAATATAACAATTGATTTTCTAAATTTTGAAATTTATCGGAAAAACACACACACGTTCAGATACATTCCGAACACATCGAACCACACCTGGCAACACAAATTGTCAGCTTTTAATAGTATGGTTTACAGATTAATTAATATTCCGATGAATAAAATAGATTATGATAAAGAATTGGTGGTTATAAAAGAAATAGCTAAATTTAATGGNATAAAGAATTGGTGGTTATAAAAGAAATAGCTAAATTTAATGGTTATAAAGAAAACATAATTTCAAAATTAGTCCGAAAACAAAAGTGGAAAAAAGAAAGGAGGGCAGCTGGTACACTCACCAGCGAAGGGGAACAAAAAGTAATTAGATCACCAATTTTATATTATCCGGGCATCTCAAATGGATTAACTAAAATATTTAAGAATTTTGGTATTACTTTGGTAACATCTAAGAATAATAATTTAAGAGATTTATTAGGTAACCCTAAAGATAAGTTAGATGAAGGGGGGAAATCAGGCATTTATAAAATACAATGTGAAAGTTACACAGGACAAACAAAAATAAATATAGGGGTCAGGTTTAAAGAGCACTTAAGAAATATTAAAAATCAAGAAGTTGAGAAATCTCCAGTGGCTAAACATTTATTGACACATAATCACTCCATTAAAACCATAAAACTAATTAAAAACGAAAATAATTACAAAGAACTTAATATCAGAGAAGCAATAGAAATGTTTAAAAATAAAAACAATTTAATTAATTGGGATCTTGGCCCACTGAAAAATTCATTATTAAACTTGTGTAAACTGGCAAAATGTGATAATATTACTTAGTGATAACGTCACTAGGTGATAAGGTCACTAGGGGTATATAAGGGAGTTTTTTCTAGTCGGGGTGTCAGTATGTGTTTAGCNTCTAGTCGGGGTGTCAGTATGTCTTTAGCCTTGATAATGGTAACATTGTTTCCTAAATACGACTTTTCAATAATATTTTTGTGGCTGTGAGTTTAATATTTTTAATATTTTTTAGTTTTTTAAA